CGAATGGAGCGCCGGCAGCCGTGGCTTCAGCGTTCGCGATGCTGCGTCGAGGGGCCCAATCAGCGGCTGTTCGTAGCGAGCAGCATTTCATTCAGTGCTAGGTGCTAGGTACGGTACTGTGGCCGTGAATCTTGGCTTGTAGAGCCTTTTGCAGGGACCTACAATATCCACCTACCTACCCTTTGGAGCTTAGCTACAAGGACTACCTATCTACCCTTGTTAAGTCAGGGTTATGCGTCGCGGTCCTGACCAGAGCACGTGTTTGCGCGCCACATTATGCGCCCCTTTCGATTGACCGCCTCTCCCTCATCCCTTGCGCGATAGAATACCGATTGGTAGAATACATGCTTGGTAGAGTACCGTTCGGGAGAGTGCCGCTCGGGAGAGTATCGCTCGGCAGAGGACCGCTCGGTAGCGTACCTGTAGAGGTCCGCCACGAAGCCATCATCGTCCCTCCCAACGCCGCCAACGTGTCACCGCCCCCCCGATGCAAGCCACATGCGTCCTCGCCACGGGACCCCTTTGACGAGCGTCTCGCTTCTGAAAGAAAACACAGAACATGGTCGATCCAATCCCGATGCCCGCACTGTCCTGTCGTCTCGAAGGCCAGCCCAGCGAGCCGGGTCCCGCCATGATGTTGAGATGAGGCAACTCCATCTCGTCGGCAGACAGGACTGCATCGCACGGCAGATCGGACTGCATCGCGCGGCAGACAAGAGAGCGGCCTCGTTCCGCGGAGGCCAACGGGCCAAGCAACGCCAGTGCTGTCCTCGCGAACCTACTGTCCTTGTACGGATCGGATCATCTTAGAACATGCATCTTCTTGTTTCCTCGTGCTGTACATATACTACCTGACCAACAATCCAATACTGCTGACCAACCATCTGCTCCGCCTACTGACTCCGTCTCTCTGCCGCCGCCGCTGCGTCTCTTGCTCTGTCCAACCTGCCCCGTGCCGCCTTGCTCTGTCCAACCTGCTCCATGTCGTCCGCGCCGACTACCCAACCATGCCGTCGTCCGCTGGCTGCTCCTCCTCCTCCCTGACAGCCGCCAGCAGCCGCTGCGCCATCCGCGGCTGGCGGCCCCACGACTGAAAGCGCTGACGGCAGTCCGGGCACGACCAGTCCGTCTCGGGCCCCTGCCGGACGAGCAGCTGGAAGAGGCACCGCGCCCCAAACACGTGCCCGCACTGCACAATCTCCACCGGCACCTCGCCCTCGCAGTACCTGTCGCGCTCGTAGTAGAACGCCCAGTCCTCCTTGTCGCGCGACCGCTCGTCTGCCGACGTGCGCGAGTGCACCGACGTGCCGTGACTCTCGCCCTGGCCGTGACCTGCCGGGCTGGCCGCGAGGAGCTCGGCGCCGTCCGCCGCGTCAAAGTACGCGTTCGTGCAGAGCGGGCAGCAGAGGACGTCCTGCGCGCCCTGTGGCACGTCGCCGCCCTGTGGCACGTCGCCGCCCTGCGTCTGGGGCTGCATCGCCGCGCGGAGCTGCGCCGCCCGTGACCTCGCGCGTCAGGAACCAGAAGAGAAGCTGGCTCTGCTGGTAGACCGTCTCCCTTGCCGAACCAGTCGCTCTTCTGCTGCACGAGCCACGTCCGGCACGCGTCGTCGACGTCCTGGAGGCCGCGCCGCACCGCAATCGTCGTCGTCATGTGC